ACACAGAGAGAGAGAGAGAGAGAGAGAGAGAGAGAGAGGGAGGGAGGGAGGGAGGGAGGGAGGAATATAAGCATGCTTGGTACCAAGCACCAGGCTTGGTAGTGAGGTGAAGAAATCTCAATCATAGATGTGAGTGAGATTAGTTGGATGGAAAGTACATTCTCATATTTTTCTCTTTGTACTTTACAATATATATATATATATATATATATATATATATATATATATGTGTGTGTGTGTGTATACATATACATATATATATATATATATATATGTGTATACATATACATATATATATGTGTGTGTGTGTGTGTACACATATATAAGAGAGAGAGAGAGAGAGAGAGAGAACACAGAGAGAGAGAGAGAGAGAGAGAGAGAGAGAGAGGGAGGGAGGGAGGGAGGGAGGGAGGAATATAAGCATGCTTGGTACCAAGCACCAGGCTTGGTAGTGAGGTGAAGAAATCTCAATCATAGATGTGAGTGAGATTAGTTGGATGGAAAGTACATTCTCATATTTTTCTCTTTGTACTTTACAAGCTCAGATGTGGGGTTGAGATGCATCCATCTCACTACCAACCACCAATATTATGCTATGAGTGGTAGGATAGTCTGCTTGGTATAATGAGGGAGGGAACAAAGTAGGCTTTGAGGCTTCGGCCCAAGAACCTCTTGGGTTGCTCCATATTGATTAAGTTTCCAGGGATGTTGGAAAGAAAGCCATAGCTATCGACATTGGAAATTGGGCCTCTAATGGAAGAGAAACAACTAGCATAGCATTATGACTTATATTGTCATCACTAGTCACTTGATGGTCCTTATAGTTCATGTTTTAAGAAGTCTACTGTTCCCATTGGAATGAGAAGCATGTGGTTATAATCCACACAATGTTTGAAGTGTGATTAGGTGGGAATCTTACATCAATTGCACAAGTTGAGGTGGATGTAGAGAACTGGCTTTGGGTCATTGCTCCTTTTTGAATTGTAAATGAAGGTGAGAAATATCTTTGAACATCCTTCCATGTATTATAAGGTTGACAACAGAAGCTAAAGAAACCATTCTCTAGATCCCTACATGTAACCTAGACCTCATTGCTTCGCAAGATTTGCAATTGAGATGGCTTTAGAACAAATAGTTTAATTATTTGTTCTATAACAAACCAATTTCTTGTTCTCTGTTTGTAACTTGTAACCCTGCTAGGCAGTACCTGACAGGATAATTATGAACAAAGTGAAACCAGATTTTTGTGGATGTCCTCCAAATTAAGAAACATTTGCACACTGACCACCTTTAAGCATTATGATCAAAAGTTCAAAAATCTTTTTTGTGGAAAATTACATGAAAATAGCCTGCATAACAATCTGTTAGCAACTTTAAGCCCAAAAGTGCAGGTATTTTCTCTTATAGATTAGAGTAGTGTTTTCTGTATTGGCTGTTTGGTCGGGGCTGATATTTCTTTTTAAGATTCTTGTTGCAAAACTATATGATTTCATAATTTTTTATCATTTTTGGCAATTTTTTCAGAAATATATCAGGTTTTTCAGATATATCCAGTGAAATTGGACCTCAAAAAATTGGTCAAAATGTTACGACATTGATTTTTTACTTTTATTTGTTTAAAGATTGGGTTTGAATTTATGGTTAGTGGAGGTCTAAGCCCAAATCAATAGTTCCTTATATAAATATATGAAAAGAAGACCTAGGGCTCAATTAAGCCAAATTCTCTTGCAAGAGTTCCAAGTCTCTTTCAGTTAGTGACCATTTTGCATGAGCATGACACGTTGAAGTGCACTGTGTGATGTGGTGCCGCCCTAACTGTGCCTCCATCATTGACTACGGCTGATGAAGCCCATTTTCTTCCTTGACTTCTTGCTGCCTGTAAGTTTTTTGCCCCTAAATCTTTCAAATTTTTATTCTTTGTTCTCATTTTCATCATGGATGCTTAAGTTTTGGCTCAAAAGATGTCGAAAAGGCAAGTTAAAATGGTTTAGCCCTCATATTGTACACTTGGAAATATCAGTAAGTTGACCAATTTCTTTATTAAATTTGGGACTCAAAAATAAAAAACCTAGGACCTTTCTTCACAACTCCGTTCTCTGATACATCAAGCATGGATGTCTATGATATGTATACACATTACCCGATATGTTCACCCCAATATCTACTAAATATCTCCATTATATCCTTGAAATCCGCCATTCATTATAAAACTTTTCAGACCGACATATCTCCAACATTTAGAACACTAAACTAGAGTATCTTGAAATAAAAGGGAAGATGTTTCCAGGAGAGCCATATGACCAGCTATTTTTTGTGGCACTTAATTTGGATCAACAAAGAACTATTTTCAGAAAATAGGTATAATTTTATGAAGATGAATAAGCGACAACTGACTAGACATTCAGAGATAAGAAAAAAGCGTTCATGCACAACCATTGCAACTTCAACTGAAGATAAGATGAGGGGGAATCATTGGACATGTCCAATGGAGACCATTGAGTAAATTTTTTAAGAGTGATACGAAGGTGGTTGGCTAAGAAATAGAACTAGGAAAGGACGGACCTATACAAATATAGGTAAAGCTATTAAAAAAATGGATGCATCCCGTTATAGTGCTGAGGGCCCATTTGGTTGATAAGATATATCAAAAGTAAGAAGTAGATCAAAGTTATTACTTCTTAAATTATAAAGTAGGAAGTAAAAAAGTATCACTTCCACTTCAATTACTTGTTTTTGCTTGGGTAGCAATTATAAACATCGCTAGGAAGAGAGAGAGAGAGAGAGAGAGAGAGAGAGAGAGAGAGAGAGAGAGAGAATATTTCTCAATTTTAGAAATAAAGAATATCCATGTAATATCAAAATTAATTTTATTCCTATATTGTCTCACCTATCAGCTACTTCAGAGGTACTTCCGAGCCTGGAGGATAGAAAGAATGGTTAAGAAATAGGAATGCACATAAGAGCCATGTCAACATTTAAGGAAGTACTAGATGTAGTTTTCCTACTGAAAGTAGTTTTCATATTAAAGCAAACATACTTTTTTGCTCAGAAGTAGCAGAAATAGTCCCTACCTCTTTTATTTTAGCTAATTAATAGCTACTTCCACACAAACAAACAGGCCCTGAATCAAGAAAAGAGGATTCATGTAGCAGATTCAAATATTTGGGACGAAAAGGTTTTACTTATTTTCATAGATTTGAATTTTGAGCATTTTTAATTCCCGAACAGTACACTTGAAGTGATGAGACTTTAAACTTTCTGTGTGATCTATGATATGTATACACATTACCCGATATGTTCACCCCAATATCTACTAAATATCTCCATTATATCCTTGAAATCCGCCATTCATTATAAAACTTTTCAGACCGACATATCTCCAACATTTAGAACACTAAACTAGAGTATCTTGAAATAAAAGGGAAGATGTTTCCAGGAGAGCCATATGACCAGCTATTTTTTGTGGCACTTAATTTGGATCAACAAAGAACTATTTTCAGAAAATAGGTATAATTTTATGAAGATGAATAAGCGACAACTGACTAGACATTCAGAGATAAGAAAAAAGCGTTCATGCACAACCATTGCAACTTCAACTGAAGATAAGATGAGGGGGAATCATTGGACATGTCCAATGGAGACCATTGAGTAAATTTTTTAAGAGTGATACGAAGGTGGTTGGCTAAGAAATAGAACTAGGAAAGGACGGACCTATACAAATATAGGTAAAGCTATTAAAAAAATGGATGCATCCCGTTATAGTGCTGAGGGCCCATTTGGTTGATAAGATATATCAAAAGTAAGAAGTAGATCAAAGTTATTACTTCTTAAATTATAAAGTAGGAAGTAAAAAAGTATCACTTCCACTTCAATTACTTGTTTTTGCTTGGGTAGCAATTATAAACATCGCTAGGAAGAGAGAGAGAGAGAGAGAGAGAGAGAGAGAGAGAGAGAGAGAGAGAGAATATTTCTCAATTTTAGAAATAAAGAATATCCATGTAATATCAAAATTAATTTTATTCCTATATTGTCTCACCTATCAGCTACTTCAGAGGTACTTCCGAGCCTGGAGGATAGAAAGAATGGTTAAGAAATAGGAATGCACATAAGAGCCATGTCAACATTTAAGGAAGTACTAGATGTAGTTTTCCTACTGAAAGTAGTTTTCATATTAAAGCAAACATACTTTTTTGCTCAGAAGTAGCAGAAATAGTCCCTACCTCTTTTATTTTAGCTAATTAATAGCTACTTCCACACAAACAAACAGGCCCTGAATCAAGAAAAGAGGATTCATGTAGCAGATTCAAATATTTGGGACGAAAAGGTTTTACTTATTTTCATAGATTTGAATTTTGAGCATTTTTAATTCCCGAACAGTACACTTGAAGTGATGAGACTTTAAACTTTCTGTGTGATTTCAGAGCAGGAGGGACGCTGAGATGTTACTTTTTTTTTTGGCATCAATGAATAGGTAGACTTCACTTCCTTATCACCCATCAGCACTGAATATTATCAGAGATGAAGGTAAAGCAAAAGGATAGGAGTGTATCAAAAAAATCATACAAGAATGAACAGTGAAACATACCTGACATGTTCTGAATATATAAAGGAAGCGATGCCGCTTAATCAGAAGAACTTCCCTAGAGAAGCATGCCTTAATAAGGTCCAAATTGGATAAAGCAAACTTTGTTCTGGCAAGAGCTGAAGGAAGAAATTTTGTTGCATCATTAGGAGCAGAGAGACTGGAGTCCACAGATTTTCCATATTCTGATTGTTTGAATGCTTCAGAAAACCCTGAAGCAGGTATATATACATAAGGTCTGGACTGATCGGACCAATACTGTGCTTGATCCTTTTTAGATGTAACCTGAAAGTATGGAACTCAGCCTGCTGCTGCAAATGTGCAAGCATCACTGTCCTATTTAAATACGAGAAATGAATTACCTCTTGGAGAAAGTCAGCAACCCCTTTACGAGGTGGCAGTGAAAACCCCAATGATTCAAAGAATTCAACAACATGTATCCTGGGACCTTGATAAATGATATGCCCATCAGATAAAAGTAATATATCATCAAACAGGTCAAATGTTTCTGGTGCAGGCTGCAGTAGGGAGATCAGCACAGTAGCCTCCATCTGATGCACAAAATTCTGCATACATTTCACTATTTGATAAGTTGTAGAGCTATCAAGCCCGGTAGAAATTTCATCCATGAAAAGAGTTTTCCTCGGCCCAACAATCACTTCTCCTGCACTCAATGATAACTAAGAAAATCAATAAAATATCCTATTGAATGATGTAAAAAAAATTTGCAAGCCATCTAAGAGGAAAGAAGACGCTTCCATTATGCGCCTTAAGTAGTGACATTTAGAACATCCATATTTACTTGAGAAGTTCTTTTCTTTTTTAAGAAAAGGGGTGAAGTTTATTTTTCATATAGTTCATCGATGAGAAATATGAATCTGAAACCGTAAATATAAAGAACGAATGCCCTTTCCTTGAATCATTGATAAGTAACAAAATATGATAAGCACACAGACTAGTAGATTACCATTTGCATGCAATTCAAAAATATTATCATAGTCTATCTTAGCAAACAATTAATCAGTATAAAACTTCAAGATTACTGAACTGGGAATCAATTTCTTCAGTGTGTGAAATTAAACTTTTTCCTTCAACCAAAATGTTCTCCACCTCAAAAATTATAGTAGAAGTAGTGTTCTACTTCTACATCACGATAATAGCCCAGCCAAAAGCTCCACCATCAACTTTTTACGAAGACTAAAAAGGATAAGAATAGTAACATAGAAAAATGGACAAAATATTCTCTAACTAACATGATTACAAGATTTAGTTCATGCTGGTTATAAGCTACCTAAGACGAAGGCCATCTTTATTCTGCCTTATTTTTAACGGCTTGTGATAGGCAGTAAAATAAAAGCAAAATAACCACAAATTGGTAGAGCAGGTGCTGACCCAAAGAAACTAAAAAGAAACAAATTAAAGTGCCAAATGACAACTAAAACTCTATTCTCAGGTTGGTAGAGTCTAAATCATTTCCAAATATCAAACAGGCAAAAGAACCTTTAAAGTTAACTTTTGAACTCCAAACTTCAAAATAGAGCATCGATTAGAACAAGAATTTAAGTAATAATGGAAGAAATGATTCCAAATTGAGTAAAAGCGTAATATCAACACGGGAGAAACTATGCTTAGAAGGGTCTAAAGGTTGAATTAAGAGCATGGAAGACTAATAACCTGTTGTCACTCGTTTTTTCTGACCACCTGAGACACCCCTTACCATATCGCTACCAACCTGTGTATCTGCGCACACATCAAGCCCAAGTACCTTTAAGATATAGTCTGTTGCAAGGCTGTGCTTCTTTCCCACAACTGAAGTTGCCTGTACAATAGAATTTGTAAATGGTACAATTTCGGACAAAAGCAGTACAAAGACAGTACGTTGAGCAATTTAGCAGCAGCATGGATTATGACCTTCATAAATGCATCAATTTCTGGAGTAGGACGCACATTCCTTTCCTTCTCAAGCCTGGCTAGATCTTTTAAATAGTCTTATACATGAGCAGATGAAGCAAAAGAGAACTAATCATGAGCAGAACACAATTTGCAAGTGAAAGGAAAACTAGCATTGTTCAGGAACAAAATAATAATGCTTTAACTATGATGCATCAAAGCATGTTCCCTTTCGAGATTGACCATAGAAGTCGGGAATGTGGGACACCATAGCGGACCGCGACCCGGGTTCAATCATCCCGGATTCATGGTGGAACACGACCCGATTCACCAATTCTAATGACCTAATTTAGAATTCAAACAAATTGAACTTTTGAGAGAAATAACTCTTTTTCAAGAGAATAAACAACAAATAACATGAGAAATTAAGCAAATAAAGTATGCAAACATTAATTGCAACATGATTCCCAATGTTTCTTAACCACTGATATTATCAACTTGAATTAGAATATTCCTTAAACTTAACGCTTGCAAAACCTTTTATTCCTACATTTAAGAACCAAACCTAAAGCGTAACAAGTTCCATGGTGTACCGTACAAGCCTTCGCCCCTCGTACCCAATTCTCAATAAGTGTCGTACCACGCTTTCGTACCCGTCTGTTGAACTGGAATAAACCGGATTCCATGCAACTATAGTTTTGACTTGGATGGAATTGTAACAACAAACATAACCATAAAGATGGTCACATTATAACAAGTTGAAGAAATATCTCCTAGATCAAGACAGCTAATGTAGATCTAACTTGCATGGGAACGGTTAGGGATACTGGTATGGGTACGGGTATGGGTGTGGATGCAGGTGCAGGTACCGATAGTGGTACGGGACATGACAATATTGCAAAATGTAGGGTACAGGGACACGACTACATACATATATTGAAATTAATAAATTACATAAGATTATACTTTTTTCTCTATTCATGTGTTATTAGAATCAAAATTCCTATCACATTTTTAAGTTTCTTTTATTTCGTTGATCATTATAATTGGAAACTAGTCATTTCTGAACTACACACTCAAACGACCCTATATAAAGTCATAGTTTTAAACTTTGTGCATGGGCCAAAAAACCTGAACTATGTCTAACGAGTTTCAAGAAATGAATATGAATTGTAGGATATACATCCAAGAAACGTATGAGAAGTGTTTTAAATTGAAACAAATATCATTGCATGTTTGAATAAACATATGCATATGTCCAAGGAGTGTCCATGAAGTTTCGGTATAGAAGGTGTCAGGTACGTGTCTGGTACGAGTACGGTTTCATGATACAAGTACCCAGATAACATAGGTATAGATTATAACTCAGATTAGCACACGTGACAGGAAAATGTTAAGGGAAATTGAGATTGGTCTGGTCAACTTGTAGAAGTTAGGCTATATGATCTTTGCTTGTGGCAGTTCTAACTATTTGATTAGCGTCTTTGCTACACACATTCCAAAGCAGTACTCTTCCTGATTCCAGATTCAGCGATTCATACCATGACTTCCTAAACTAGATATCTGAATTTGTGCATATTAATAAGTAGTGAGTTGGGCGTTCACAGAAATGTTGAATCATGCAAGCACACTCTTTGATTTTCAATGGAAGAATTTTTTTTCTTTTTTTTCGGCCTCACTGTAAATGAAAAAGTATACACACCATTAGTTGGCAAAAGAGAAAAGAGAGAAAACAGTCAAGATCCAAAGATGATAAAGATTAATTGTCAAATATCAAATTGTCAATTGAACAAAAATTGACGGAGACTGATTAAAGCAAGAATATAAATTACTTAACGTATACAGTGAATCTAGACACTCTATTAAAGACAAGGGACAGTAAAATATTTTCTAATAGCCATCATGCTCAATCAACAAAAATTGGCGGAGACTGATTTTCCATGGTGTGTTCCAAAATACTCATAGCTACACTGATCCAACATGGATCAGTGCTGACCAATATTCGAAATCATGGTGAGAACATCTGCCGACGTCCAAAATAGTATTGATGAGTGAAAAAGTGGTTCCAAAACTTAAACCTCCATAAGTAACTTGTTAAAAACATGTTATCCACCACAAGAAAAATGATCCACGTGATGCTTCAGGACAAAGTTTTGAAATTTCTTTGCATCTTATTCCCAGCCTAGTTTGAATGGGTAGATCAAGATGATAGGTTTGGATCGCCTAGATATAGGGCTCCATGAAATTCATAGATAACAGTTTGTGGAACCAGGGACTGCAGTAGGAAATTTGGCCAACTAACAGATTAAAAAGCCTACTTAGTGGAAGGATGGAAAAGGACGAGAGAGTAAAGGAAAAAGGGGGAGGAGAAAAGTTAACATTTTTATGAAGAAGCATAAAAAGCAATACACGAACTTCAGACTAGAAAAAAGATATCTGATTGCCTGATTCACTATTTTAGTAGAGGATAACTGGAGAATTATGTCTCCAGAACTAACTATGATGTGCATGGAACCATGAAAACTATCACTTTATGTGCATGAGCCTCACTCTTTGTGTGTATGTGTGAAGGAGGGAGATGTTCTTTTTTTTTTTTTTTTTTTGGGGGGGGGGGGGGGGAGCGGGGGGGGGGGTAGTACATGTACTCATGAGGACAGAAGAAAGGCAAAACAACATCTTTGAAAGATAAATTAGTCTCAGCATACTTGTTCAATTATCAAATTTTCCTGCTTGTAGAGAACCCATAATCACTTGGAGGAAAGTAATACTAAAAGGTTGAGTAGAAAGACAACCGGAAAAATTGTCGTTTGCACCCTGACATCTTGCAGCAAAATCTAAAGTCTCGCGTACAGTTAGCTCTCCAATATGATTATCTGTCTGACTGATGTACGCAGATGTTCTTTGAACAAAAAACTCATCAAGAAATTTTCCATTATACTTCACTTGTCCGGTTACCTGACTTAAGAGACGAGGGAGAAAAGGGGGCTGAGAATATATCTTAACAAGGCCAAGGTGATAAAATACAAATATACATTCTACATCGAAGCAGGTTATATAATTCACATCAAAGCAGATATTGTTACTAAAAGTAGTAATTGTACACAAGGAAAGGCAAAATAAGATATGGCAGAAACTAACAAGTAACTACTGACATCAGCTTCGAACAACAGTTTAAGAGTCGGCTATTAATACTGGTATTTTCAGCAGATTTTTTTCAATGTATTAAATGGTTAAAATGCATGATATTTATCATGTTATAAAGGTAAAAATTATATTGCCAATAGATTGGACAATAATGTTGTTCTTTTACTTAGACCCTCATTCTGGTTTTCTTCATCATAGTCACCTCCTTTCAGCAGATATTGTATCTGCAGTTTCCGTAAGAATTAAGTAAATGCATCTCCCTTTTATTCTAATTTCTTTTGGTTTGAACTGAACTATTACTCTGCTAGGTGTGCGCTTCAGGAGGTTAGGGCTATGTCCCACTAGTGTTATGTACTAAAAGAATCAACAAGATTTAAAATCTAAGGAGGGTTCTTAGAGGAAAAAAAATAAAGATATACCACATCATAGTAAATAGATCGAATACGTCCATTACATTTAAAAAAAAAACAGGTCAGGAGGATGACAAGTATTTCAAGAACCAATTTATGTTGAACAGGTTTCCTGGAAAGAGAAAAATAAACAGAAAAAATATTTGGTACCTATGTTGTCCATGCTAATCAAAGGAAAATATTCACTTTTGATAGGCCAATAAATAAGTGGAGGATAGAGGAGGGAGATTTCAAGTATTGCCCTTTTGAATATTACTACTTTAACCAGTAGGGCCATGTGTATATTAAACTACAGATAAGATTTTTCATAACTTAAAACATTAGGAAACATAAGTTTTTCACAGACTAACACCAAAATCTTCCGTAATCCTATATTACCGCCTAGAATCTTAATAATTAAAAACCGAAACTTTAAACTATTTGTGCATCATGATTATGAATATCACTCTGTGTGCCTCGCAGGTCCATGCCTGCCTAATAAGTCCATCCATAGCTGAAGAAGAGAGATAAGAGTTTAATATCAAGCTTTGATGAACTCCTATGGTAACATGTACAGGATCTGACTTCTTATCATCCCATGCTAGTTAATAGTTACACAATATACATATTCTTAAGTATGTATGTATATAATCTCTTCATCAATGAAAATCGTGTCTTCTATTTCCTTTTCTAGAACTTACTACCAGTGTATTTCTCAATATATTATTTTGACTTGTTATGATACGGGATGCTACTTATAAATGGTTGAGAAAATTAATACTTCTAGAGCGTGTTATGCGTTGCATTGTACAATCTCAACACAATGATCATAAAGCTCAATAAGTAATAATATTTTCTTTCTCTCTCTAATTGAGAAAAAGTGAAAATAAAGAATCAAAAAAGTACCTTTAAATTAGAGTCAAGTTTACCGGCAAGAGCCAAGAGTAAGGTGGACTTCCCCGCACCAGGAGGTCCCAACAGAAGGGTCATTCTGCCACCATAAGCGTAATAAATGATAAGCACTATAAATTCCAGAACTTTTAATTGCTTAGACCATTTAGCCAAAAAAAATAGTGTTTTGTAGGCATGATATTGGGCTGTTTGCTAAGGTATAATTGGACAAGAGCCCAATTTGAATAAGGCTAAATGGCACTTAAATACCCTATTGTTTCACCATCTTTACATTTAAATATCCTAAGTTGTAAAAAAGTAGCATTTTAATACTATAAGTTGTAAAAAATTGGCACGTTCGTAACTTCTGTTAATTTTCTTGGGAATGTTCCTAGAAATATGTCCTAACAATTAATGAAAGGTACTGAAGTGCTACTTTCTTATAAGAGTGTTAAAAGTGCTACTTTCTTATACTTAGCATATTGAAGTGCTACTTTTTACAACTTAGAATATTTAAGTGTAAATATGGTGAAACAGTAGGGCATTTAAGTGCCAAATTTTCACAACTTAAGGTACTGAAGTGCTCTTTTTTTACAACTTAGGGTGTTAAAAGTGCTACTTTCTTATAACTTAGCATGTTGGAGTGCTACTTTTTACAACTTAGAATATTTAAGTGTAAATATGGTGAAACAGTAGGGTATTTAAGTGCCAATTTTTCACAACTTAAGGTACTAAAGTGCTCTTTTTTTACAACGTAGGGTGTTAAAAGTGCTACTTTTTACAACTGAGGGTATTTAAATGTAAAGATAGTGAAACAGTAGGGTATTTAAGTGCCAGTTAGCCTTTGAATAGATAGGCAAAGAGATGAGGCTTTATTAAGAGAAGTGTAACAAGATTAAGTCCTAACTGAGTTAAACTCTGGTCATAGACAAAACCCAGCTCTTCGAATAACATAATGACTACTCTCCTCCAAAAGGAAAGGGGAAAGGGGAAAGGGAGAAAGAGAGAAAAATGTGAATTGTCTGTTTGATCAGCTAAGTTTTATATAGAATGTGAAATATTTCAGAAATTAACATATAAAAGAAAAGGAGGGTTTGTCACACCTTCCTGGTTTGACCACACCACTAACATTATCCAAGATGGTGAGAGAGTGTTTCTTTGGCCGAAGTATCCTCAAGGATGTGAGAAGCATCTGCGCGTTGAATGCATGTACAGAACAATTAATGAAGAAGAAGCTAGATTGAAGACTAAGAAAGGAATAAACAGCATCTGATTAAAATCACCCCCAGTTAAATGCCCATTT